TCTATATATATATATTTTTTTTTTTCAAATAATTGTCACTTAGAAGAATTATTTATTTTTAAATTAAATATTTGATGGCAGGTTCACTACATACTCGTAAGACTGACGATAAGTATAACATGTAAATGAAGGTGTAAACAGACTGATCTTACGGGTTATTTCTTTAAAGAGACAGAGAGAGGACAATGCTCTATATTTTACAAAGAGGGAAATAGTTTTATAAACTTTTATCACAGATACCATCTGTTTGAGATACGTAGTTTAGAAAATGTTTGAAAAATTGGTATCATAATAATGATGTGAGTAAATATACTTTATTAACTGTAAAAGCGTAAGACCAAATCGCATCATATTAAGAGTATGTAATATTGTAATATGCAAATTCAACTTAAATATTCTGATTATCTTATTTTATTCCTAAAAGATTAGTCAATTGTTGCATTTGAAAACTTAGTTTTGCCGAACCAGAAATATCTCAGACTGAGAAAGTAGAAAATTGTTCGAAGTTTCACTATACGAGGTCTGTTCGGAAAATAACCGAACTTCATTCGTTTTAACTTTATCATTAATTTTATACATCATTGGTTCTTGTCTCCTTCAAAGTACTCCTCTTCCCCAATCACACACTTTTCTCAGCGGTATTTCCATTTCGCGAAGCAACTTCATCTGAAATGGCCTTTAAAGTTTTTGATGAATTTGCTTTGATGTCATCAAAAGTCTGAAAACGGCGTCCTTTAAGCACTGATTTTAATTTCGGAAATAAGAAAACATCTCAAGGTGCCAGGTCTGACGAGTAAAGAGGGTGAGAGAGAACAGTAATCTGATTTTTGGCAAAAAACTGACGAATTGACAAAGCTGAGTGTGTGGGCGCATTGTCATGGTGCAAGAACGATTCGCCACAACTCTAATCTCTTTTCACGTAATCGTTATAAATCGCCTTGATAGAACACACGGTTTACTGTTTCACCTTGAACCAAAAATCCAAAATGTTCCGTGTTTTAGTGGTTATTTTTTACATATGAGGTTTGATCAAAAAGTAACGGAAATTGTCAATTTTCTCAGAAAATATTTATTTAATCTTCAATTTTTATCCCATCCCTTTCAAAGTAGTCCCCCCTCCCATATACTTATGCCAACGTAATTTCCAGTTTGAGAAACACTAGTGGAAAGCCTTTTTAGGTGTCGTCTTGAGCAAGGTTTGCGATTTTGCCTTTATCTCATTTGTTGTTGAAAAACGTTATCATTTGAGTATCCTTTTGGGTTTGGGCATCACAACGGCGTTGTGTTTCGATAAGAACTGTTGAATAAGCAAAGCGGTATGCGCTAGTACGTTGTCGTAGTGCAAAATCCCCGAGTTGTCTCTCGTGTTCTTTTCTCCTTATTTCTTCACGAAAATTGTGCAGAACTTGTAGGTTAACTGTAAGACCGGGCATTAAAAATGATGAACTAGTCCATTGTGGTCGAAGAAAATTGTTAGGAGGCCTTCCTGAAAACATTTGTACCATTGATAAACTCGTGGCTGTGACATAGTATCATCGCCAAAAGCCTTTTTTAACATTTTGAATGCTTCGCTGTACTTTATTTTTAACGTTTAACGTTTTTAACACAAACTTTCTGATCCTACATTTCGCAACAGAAAAAATCGCCAAAGACATTGAAATACGTGTTACTCATTATCTCGCTCAACACAAAATAAGCGTGGCAGCTGCCTAAAAGCTGGCACGTCACTAACAAATACAAAAAAGAATCAACTCGATGTAGAAGATACAGCACGTGCAGTTTGAAAATTCCCGTTCTTTTTTATCAAATCTCGTATAATATCTATTTTTTTAGGCTGTACGCTATATGAATACATATAAGCTCGAGTCCGACAATCCATTTAATCCGGAAAAAGTGGATAAAATCCTAGAATCCGTGATGATAGAAGCTCTGGAGAATCTCACGTACGACATGGAGAAATGTCCCAAGCAGGCGAAGTGGGCATCGATGGCGATCAGGGCGAAAGTAAAAGCGTTAGAATTTGATAGGTAAATAGTTCCATTTTAAACTACTATTACTAATGAAGACACCAGATTATATATCTTCCATGTAAGACATTCATAAATTAACATTCTGAGTATTTCAAACTAGAGGTACAATAGTGATAATAAATTTATTATCTTACTGATTGATATGTGTCACTTACAACTAGGGGTCGGATCACCAAGGACATTTTTGGTGAGTTTAAAGAATCTAATTACAAAAATATAAATTACGGTTTTTACTGAAATGTTTAGAAAAAAATAAATTGATTGTAATGGTATACAAAACATGAAATTAGCTGACGATATACATATTAACTAACAATTAATTAGTGATCAGTAGAGAGAGAGAGAGAGAGAGAGAAACATAATTTTGAACGATTAATGAACATACTTTACACAAAATTATAAATTATAAACAATTGAAAACATTTATTAATATTGCTGGAATCGGTATTTTTTTATTGTTGTTCCAGAAACTTCTAAGGTTTTTTTACATGAACAAGATGTTAAATATTGTCGTTTGTATGATAATTATAGAAAAATAAAAATGTTTACAAGTGATAACATATTTATGCGTAAATTTTGTGAATCATATACCTAAATTAAAATTGTAATGGTGAAATATGTTCGAAATTAATTATAGTCTCACTTTGAACACATAATAAATAATATGATTTTGCGCTATAAATATACATTTAATAAAAAAGGGGTTATCAAGGAGAGTAAACTATATCAAAACATATTATTTAATTGAGTACTGATGATTGCAGTGCCTAAATTAATGGTACCTGGTAGTGAGAAACTGTCACTTTTAATATAATTTTTAGGTATAAAATTATCTCTATAGTAACTATTGGTGAAAAACATTCTCAAGATGTGCTGGTTACGTGCAGATTTTTGTGGGATGCTGAGAAAGACAGATATTCCACGTTCGCTATGGAAAATACCTATGTATTTGGAATCGCCCAATGTTTTGGGTTGTATTATGAATAAAATAAATAGTAATTTACATGTGTATATCTAGATAAATAAAATGTACTTTTTAAAAGACCCTGCATATTATTATTTTAAATAAATTATTTTGCAAATTTGGATAAAGGTGTCGATATATTATGTCGATTGTAAAATGTAAGTGGCTTTATGTAAAATTAAATACATTTATTAAATTTTACATTTTAGGGAAAATTTAAATGGAAAGAAAAAAATTCCCGCCTTTGCATTTCCTAAAAAGTAAGTATATAATGATATATAATCCCGTTTTATTATTATTCTCTTTTTACTTCTACACTGTTAAGATGTTTGAATGGACACAAAATGTTAACATATCTAAAAAGTAATGCGAAATAAAATTATATCATCAAAGACAGTAACTACATTATAATTTGTATAGTACATAATAAATTAATAACAGTTTGATATCCAGTGGCGGAACATCAAAATTTAGGTAGTGGTTGCTCTTGACTTCCACACCAGGGAGGGCGGAACAAAAATATATCAAATATAACTTTTTTTATGTATATACTATTGAAATATAGGGAAAATGTGTTCCATATAATTTTTTATAGTGAAAGTCCATTCTGCTGCTTTTGTGCGAAATAAACTTTTCAATTACTTTTTCACTAATGTTTGGTATTTCTGGCACCATTGATTTTCCAATAGATATCATTGCAAGAGCTGTTAGTCTGTCTTTACAATCTAATTTAAACATTTATAATCTTTTAAAAGACACAAGAAACAATACTAGGCTATTGATTATGTTATATGGTATGGACCTACAACGTTGATGGGTTTTTATTGCATGAATCGTTCAAATGGTTATTTAGAATGAAAAAACTGCGGAGTGCTATTAAATTAGAGGGTGGAAATTGGGGATAGAGGTGAAAATGCACCCCTTTCAGTTTTTTAATTGTGGCTCGAAAATGAAGCAAAATTTCGCTATAGTTCATAGGAAAAATTATTTTAGAGAATTTAATTTCCCATCGAAATAGCTTATTTAAAAAAATTAACAGGAAAATCCTTGAACGTCTTATTTCCTTTTTTTTTGCAAAAAATGAGAATTAAAACAACGTATAATTGTAAACGCGACGAAAATCGAAAAATTGACTAAGTTTGAGCGGCCATATATCAGTTAATTTTCATCCAAAAATACTCTACAACCCCTCTTGTTTTGAAAGAAATTTTATATACTTTTTTTTCTATGAAGCAATGCCTATACCTATATCTCTGCTCAGAAAAAAGTTATTTGCATAAAAGTAAAATCAATAAAAAATTTAATTTTTGGCATTTTCTTGTTAAATTGTTTTTAATATATTTTGCAGTAAATAAATTTTTCAAATTTTTTAAATAAGCTATTTCGATCGAAAATCTCATCATCTACAAAATTTTTCCTATGCAATACCCTCAAATGTTGCCTCGTTCTCGAGATATACTCAAAAAACCGTAAGGGATGCATTTTCACCCCCAACTCCAATTTCCACCCTCTAATTTAATAGCACTCCGCGGTTTTTTCTTTCTGAATAACCATTTGAACGATTCATGCAATAAAAACCCATCAACGTTGTAGTTCCTTAGTACCCTGCTTTCTAAGACATAATCAATAGCCTATATGCACATTACAAATTTAACATTCCCTTTTAATGTGTTCCATAAGGCTATTTAATTGATAAGATAACATTGTAACTAAATTTTTTTACTATGAAAATTTCTAAGGGAGCGGCGCCCTAGAGCCTCCCGCACCAGCCGCCACTGAATTTAGGCCTGCCAGCAAAATTTATTTCGAATCTCTTCTTTCGAACTTTTCAGGAATATTTACATATAGTTAAATCGCACTTTTCGAAAAAATCATTGGTGTAGAAACATTACGCTTTTTCGTGGCTAAACCTTCTGCTATCTATAAAAATGCAAAATTTCGTTTTGTCAAATGAAGCGAAGGTTAATTTTTGTCAGAAACACTGCATTAGTGATCGAATATTCAGTAGCTTCGAATTTCTGGGATTCTGGAGTTTATAGAGATAGTGATTTCGCCAATGGTTACCGTAAGAGTTATACGATAAGAGTGGCTAGTCCAAGTATGATCACTGTACGCATAGCTTATATCTTAGGGACTGGAAAACTATAGAATAATAATAATAATAATAGATGTATATTCTAACGTAAAATTTAATGAACAGTAAATGTCTGAAAAGCGAACAGAGATATCGAAATTGAAGAAGAATACCTATTTTAGGTAGAAAGTGATGCTTTCCAGGAATTATCACTTATTTTATGATAATTCTACAGAAAAAAATTCTTTCTTTATTAACCAAAGTTATAGGTATCTATTTGTGTTCTCTAGGGGTGACGCTAAAATCAACTATAAATTACTATTTGATGTGACAATTTTGAGTTTGACACTACAAAAATTTAATAATGAGAAATTTAAAAATATCTCTTAAACCGTCAATATTTGTAATAAAGTGTGTTTGGCCAATCGTCATATTTTAGTCTAGTTTTTCTAGATTTTCCGTTCTAAGTTAATCACCCTGTATAAAAAATATAATTTTCTAAAATTATGCAAATACTTTACATCAAGCTTTGTCGTGGACAAAATTTTTTATGTTCAAATTCACCACTTTTAGCTTGTTGTAAAATACCGGGTGTTTGTAAATAATTGCGAAATATTTTAGGGGGCGGTTGTTGAAGTTATTTTGCGAAAAAAAGTTCATATAAACGTAGGTCGAAAAATGCTTCGTTTCCGAGATACAGAGTGTTTCAATTTTAATTTTTTATTTATTTTTATTAATTATTTCAGTTTTAAAAATATTGACTTGAAATTTGATGGTTGTATTTTATTTAGAAATATTGACAGCAACCTACTAGATAATGTATCAATAGAAATTAAAAATACACAACTTGCAACAAAATACGTTTTATTTTTTTCCTCAAAAACGGTGCATCATACGAAAAAAATTAGAGCGACCAACTTCATTCAGAATTGATGGCGGATTTCTAAAAAAATATCAAAACGGGAAATAGTCAGTGGCGTTCCATTTTTTTTTAATTAAAAAAGGTTGTGGCATTCTCGCACGAACGCCGCTGGTGCAAGTAGAAATATTCGGATCAACCCAACAAATGCACATTTATCCCTTCAAAGCGTTTTTAAAATTTCGAGTCAATATCTTTAAAACTCTTTGAAATAATTAATAAAAATAAATAAAAAATTAAAATTTAAATACTCTGTATCTCGGAAACGAAGCATATTTCGACCTACGTTTATATGAACTTTTTTCACAAAATAACTTCGGCAACCACCTTCTAAAATATTTCACACTTATTTACAAACACCCTGTATATCTATGTATTGACAGAATCTGCCAAAAACAACAAAAAACCCTTCAGATCAAATCAACTGGACATATTAGTTAAATGGAAGTCCCGACTCCTCTAGTGACTAGCCCTCTCCCTCCTTTGCTCTCTATTGTTCCCTTTTGCTCTATGATACTTCCGCCATTGTTGATGTCCGTAGGAAGAATTCCTTTTAGAGCATACTTTTTAAATTTATGAAATTGCACTTTCAAACTTCAAAATATATTAGACGAAAAAGGTATCCATCGACTGGCCTTCCAAATCGCCCCGTCTAAATTCAATCGAGCATGCGTGGATGTGGAGCTAATTATCTCTGACTCTAAATCTCCTCGAATATCTACCCCAAACTCAGAAACAGGAAATTTATATAGGAACAATTAAATTAGTAAAATAAAAGTATATTGAGGTACATTGTTTAATTTAATTTAAAATAAGAGAGCATCATAAGTTTATTACTAAGGTATTCCTTAAACACCTTATACATTGTTACGATTTATTTATTATATATATATTATAATTTATTTAAGTTATACTACGTTTTATATTTACAAAATATACAGTCGATTAATCAGTAGAGTTCAGATGAATGCTCCTCTATTGATGCCAATGTAATGTTATTTCGCCTAAGTGTGGATAAGTTCCTAAAAATTGAAGGAATTATTGTAACATTCACACATTATTTTTATAAAAATTTAATACATTTTCTTTATGGTACTATCATATCATCAAACAAATCTAAAATATAGTGGCCCAAATTGCATACGCCAAACTTTAATTGATGACAGAATGCTTCAAAATAACAAAACAACGATCGAGAAATGCTTTGTGTTATGATTAAAAAATATATTTATATGAAGATTTTTTATGTATACTGCAAAAAAATGAAATTTGATAACAATTTACCAAATTAGAAGCATAAATCCACAGAATCGAACAAAACTATCTACCATTAGTAGAGATATTGGAAAGGCACTGTCGCCAAGAACCCCGTAATTTTGTTATTACTAATAATTGTTTTGTATAGTTTTCCAAGAAAAAATATCACTTTACTTGAAAAAAGACCGTTGTGGATTTACTACTTTTCTTTTAGTTTACAATAAGCTTATTACTAGAGCTCGGGACTCGGTCGGATGATCATAGCCGTCGCGTCGAAACCGAAAATAACGGCAGTTATTAGCTTCGCGTTTGCTTCGTGTATACGTGTTTTAATATTTTAATAATGTCGGACGTACCAAAGGGTAAAGACGACCTTTTGCTAATAAAGTAAATTTATTTATTTTTATTTATACGTACTTGTTTATTTATTTGTTTACGACGAACACGCCTGTGGCTAGCCGACGAAAACCCCGAGCTTTACTTGTTACTGATGTAGTTGAATAAATTTAAAACATCTCTAAAAGTACAATATTAACTTTACAAAATAATGTATGTTTTTATTCTAAATATAATTTATATTGTGTAACCGCTAAAAGTACAAGAAAATCATTGCTGTAGAATATTAATTTTAATTAACTGTAAAATAGAATATTAAATTATGTCAAAGATTTTTTGAATGTTTGATGATTAGTACACTGCATTAAATTTAATCTACTTAATGTAATAAACCTTTTTAACTAATAATATTGTTGAAAACAAATACTCTGCTGGTCACAACCCTGTTTAGCATTGAATTAGACCTGCAATATGTAATAAACTAAGCTGGACTATGTAGTAGTTCTCAGAGATGTTTCCTACAATCATTAGTTAAAAAGTTATTTGGTCCTAGAGCGACACTAGTAGAGGTCTTTTAATATCTCATGAGCCGCGAAATGCACGAAAGGCGTGGCGTATCCCCATAATTCTTCTAATAAGCACGTTGTGAAAACATTGACTCAGAACTAGACCATGTGCATCATTACAAGTAGACATGAACTAAGGCGCTCTGGCATCAATAAAGTTAACTGGCGAACGTTCGTTATATATATATTTATTGTTTAAATTAAAATAATAAAGAATAGGGCATTTTATTATGATATTTGTAATCGGATCAAAGGCTTGTTTACGCTAGAGCTCGAGAGAGACTGTGAATAATAGGTGTAATGTTTTTAGGACGTAGAATAATTTAGGCGACGGTCGGAATTATGTTTCTGCGCATATGAAGGTCAAAGCTCATAAGATTTTAAAACATCTCAACCCCTCTTTGTTAGTAGGTACAAAACAACGTTTTGTGCCAGTAGGCATTGACAATTAAGATATGATACGAGGTCTGTTCAGAAAATAACCGAACTTGGTCTCTTTTTGCGGATTTTTTCACGTAACCGTTGTAAAACTGTTTCACCTTGAGGCAAGAATTCAAAATGCACAATCCAAAGTCTAAAGTAATAGGCTATTGACTATGTCAAAAAAGAGGGTACAAAGGAACTACAACAGAAATTTTATTGTTTGATATGTTCAATTGACCCTAAAAAATTATAAAACCGCGGAGTGCTACCTTTTAAAGGGGTGCGTTTTTGAGAACAAAGTAAAAAGGTGGTATTTTCAGATTTTTGAGTTTTACTCGAAAACTATGCATTTTTTCACTATAGTTGTTATCAGAAAAGTTGTAGCAAATTGAAATTCCAATCGAAATGAAACCTTTTGAAGTCAAAAAAATTATTTTTAACAAAAATATGCCCAAAAAACGAGTAAAAAAAACGAAAAAACGCGTTTTTTTTTTTTTTGGTTTTTGCCCACAACTTTTTTTCTGAGAGGAGTTAGGTATAGGCGTTACTTCACAGAAAAAAAGTTAATGTTTTTTACTTTAAAATAAGCCTTTATAGAAGTACTTATGACTAATAGAAACCGAGATACATTGGATCAAAGTTGGCTACTTTTTGGATTTTTGGCCAATTTTTGCCCTTTTTTGATGATTTTCGTCTTATAACTTTTTTCTGTGTTAATTTAGGTATATGTAATGCCATATTCAAATGAAAGCTGGTTTCAAGACCTTGGGGCGTGGCGATCCTCTGCCAAGCCACTGTGATGATTGAAGTTTTGTCTCAATGTCGTAGCCGTAAACGCAGCTTTCGTCTCTCGTTATGATCTTTGAATGATGTTTCATCGTCATTGGATTATTCAAGGAGTTGCCGACATACGTCTACATGATTTTCTTTCTGTTGTTCGGTCATCAAATAACTCGATACATGTTCAATTTTTCAGTCAAAATTTCGTAGCGTAACCAATTGAGATGCTAACCTCTTCTGCAATTTCTCTGACGGTCAATCGGAGACTTACACGCACCATATCTTTGACTTCGTGGGAGCCGTCAGTTGCATTGGCGACAAACGTTGAACGTTGTTTCTTTCTGTTGTTCGGTCATCAAACGAGAAACAAATTTTGCTGCAACTCGATGCATGTTCAATGTTTCAGTCAAAATTTCATGGCATGACTAACCTACTCAGTCATTTCTCTCAATCTGCGATTTGCATGCACGGGATCTTTGACTTTATGAACGTGAGAGTTATCAGTTGAAGTGGAAGGCCTTCCTGGTCGAGGATCATCTTCAATTGACTGACGTCCACTCGAGCAATTTTCATCAGTTTCAAGTAAAATTTTAAAAATCGTCATTATCAATTAAACATGTTGCACTCAAATAACAAAAACATACGGTTACAGAGGAGGCTATGCGGAACGCAATGTTGCCAACCGCATATCACTAAATATCTCCATTAGCGTGTAATTAAAAAAATTCGGTTATTTTCTAGACCTCGAATACTTTATGGATTTTGGTCCCCCACATTCAAAACGTGTAATAAACCTATTTAAAATTAAAGAAAAAAATATTTTTTTTTATTAGAAACCGTATTAGAAATTAAATGCACTTATTCAACTTTCAAAACACTCAGTGTCGAAATTATGGGGCTCTTGACTATAGTGGTTCCCCGTATCTTAGCCACCGGTTAATAGATTCGTTTTAAACATTTTGGAAACCAAGCATGTTCCGATTTGGAACTTTTTGCTTATTTTGACAAATTCTATCACAGGTTATAGTTTGGTGGGTATAATTCGGGTTACCCTGGTTTGGAAAAATCTATGATAGTAAACTGCAAAGAGGTAAATTAAATAAAATAAAGAAAATAAACTGAATCTCTGTGAATTATAATAAATATTATACCTAACAGAATTTCATGGAGACGTTATATTAGTCAATATTAATGCCATACTTACTTAATAGTTGTCGATTACATCATTGACTAGTTTCAAAAGGCCCTGTTTTTCTCCACATTCTCCATTTAAGTCGTCACCACCAATATGCCAAACCATGACACCAGCTAAATCTTGAGACATAGCATATTTTACCTAAAAGAAAACATTGTTGGTGTTCAATGACTAAATTTTTAATCGATTTCTACTGCAATTGACTAATAAAAAAACATTCACCTTTTCCGTTATGGACATTTCATCATCATATCCTACCCATTGGTCCCCTAAATATTTGTAAGGGTTCTTTTGTTCCTGGTCCCAAACCCTGGTCCACTCATTGTAGCTCGAACATATCTAAAATATGCGTAATAGTGAAATACTGAACATTATAAACAAGTCATGAAAATGGATAATGTAAGATACATTAAGTTAGTAAATAGAAGTTAGTAATATAATTGTTCGAATTAAAACTTTTTTTAGAGAGTTTTAAAAAAATAATTGAAATAGGTCATTGTTTACGTTGAGAGAGGCGCATTTTACCTTCATTTATTTAATTTCCCACCAACGACAATTCCCACTTTAAATGTTGTAAAAGATGGGCGAAATGATACCTTCTTTAAAAGCTTAAATATCTGTATCTGTATTAAAATAAAAGAAGTAATTCTGCAATTTGACATAAAAAGTTTTTAATTCATGTACCCATGTATTCTTACACTCAATGACACAGTCCGCTATAACTGAACAAATTTTAAAAATTGTTACGTTGATGAACGCAAGTTGATGGAGATCATTTTGAGCGAATGAACAAAGAACTATATTGATGTCGAATGAGGTAGAAATGCAAGTAGCAGGTAACTCGTTTTAAACTCGGATCCCCATTCCTTTATATCCTCCTTTATACAGGGTGAATCATTAATAATGGTACAAGCTTAATGACACATTGCTAACGTCAAAATATTGTGATTGAGCCAAACATGCCTTCATCAATTGTTGCTCCTTTTCGTTCTACAGGGTGTTAGAGTTGAAAAAATGTTTTTGATTTTTATCTATATTTTAAGCATTTATAGATCGATTGTGTTCTGAAAATTTTTAGTTTTACGTTTTCTGAGGAAGCAAATACGAATATACAAACAGTGTCTAGTTCAATGTAAAAATCTGTCCAACTTTTTGTATTTTACAATTTTGAATTTTTAACTACAAATTATTGAACTACGTTCAATTCTAAATAAAAAAGGTATACCAGCTACAAATCGATAAACTAAACCGTTTTCGAGGTAAAGACGTTTTAAGTTTTTGAGATTCGGCGGGAATTAAATTAGAAAATTAGCAGGTTTTAAGATACCAAGTCTGAATTAAGAATTAAGACAAACGTTACAGCAACTGAAAATTTTATTATGCATATCTTAACAAATTTATTAACCACCAGCGAATTCAATGCACTTTCCTAGCCTTCTATTTAAATTTTGTCTGACGTTAAATAAAGTTCTATGTTGTTTGATGATATGAACAGATTCTTGAATATTTGTCCACAGTTGTCCATGGCCATTAATAATGTTTTTGTAAACTAAAGATTTAAGATATCCCTAAAAGTAAAAATCTAGCGGATTTAAAACAGGGCTACCTGCAGGCCAAGGTACTTCGCTAAAGCGTCCAATCCAACGCAACGGTGCGGGAAATTTCTATGAAGATATTCTCTTCTCTAAAAAATAACGACAAGAAAAAAACTACTTCCTAATCAAATTGAGTAGAATTGGCAGAAACAATATGGTATTGTAGTGACAGCTGTCAATTTATTATGTCAATGCCTACTACTTTGGAAAAAATAATTTTCTAAGTTAATTCCCGTCGAATCTAAAAAACTTAAAACGTCTGTATCTCGAAAACAGTTGAGTTTATCGATTTGTAACAAGTATACCTTTTTTATTTAGAATTGAACGTAGTTCAATAATCTCTGGTTAAAAAATTAAAAATTGTCAAATATAAAACGTTAGACATATTTTTACATTGACAGGACATTACAACTAGCGCCCCCTAGATGTGCCCCCAACACTATTTGCATATTCGTATTTGCCACCTCAAAAGACCTAAAATTACAAATTTTTAAAATAATCGGTCCATACATACTTAAAATATAGCAAAAAATCGAAAATATTTCTTCAACTTTAACACCCTGTAGAACGAAAAGGAGCAACAATCGATTAAGGCATCTTTGGCTCAATCGCAATATTTTGATGTTAACAATCTGCCATTGAGCTGTGCACCATTATTAATGACTCACCCTGTATACTTAAATTTTTGAAATATGATTCGCACCATAGGTAAATGTAAAAATTACACGTTTTACGTTTTACATCAGTTTAATAGAATAATGTTACCTGCCGATATGTAGGAGTAGCTGTCGTTCCAGGTCCAGTTATATTAGCGTGAAGACCGTGGATTTCTGCATTTGCTAAAGTAAAAGCTCGACCGTAAAAGGCCAACCCTGCATTCATTTTATGTTGGGTTGCGCCAGCATTAATCCAGTTTTTAATAGATGCCGCAACATTAAGATTGGTCCTTTCAAAGTTGCTATCTATCGAGGACTCAAACAGTGGCGCATTCTGACCTGTGTAAGGGCTCCAGGGACCAAAGTAGTTGTAAGTCATGATGTTGAACATATCTAAATATCTAGAAAGTAAAATTGTTATTAAAGAAGAGATAAATAAGGGGCAAAGTGGTACCCATAGCTGTAATGTGGGAACTGTGCCATTTCTCCAACTTTTTTATATGATAAAAAAGAAGAATGTCAATTTTTTATATCTTTGAGGCGCACTAGTATGTTACGATTTTAACCATGTAATAGTTATAACTTGAATATTTTTAAATAGCAAAGGGCTCTAGTGATATCTTCTTTGCAAGAGTGTAAAATTATCTTTTAGTGTTTAAAGAAGAAGAGGAGAGAAATTTGTACTGAGTTTCTGAAAACTTTGAAGTCTTATCTTTTTTAATTCATGTGACTACTGATAAGTATTTATTATAGTGTGTATATTGTAAAAATTGGTATACATTAATAATTAAACGTTACAAATAGGGTTTGATAGAAGAATTTTATGACGATTTAACGCTTTGTCGTATTTAAAAAAAAATTGCCAAAGTTGTGGGAAATTTCCTTGTGACTTAGAAACTGTATTTAGAAAAACAATAGAATGCTGCATTTCGGAGATACAAACCATACTTACACATTTTTTGATATAACACCCCGTATATTTTTACATATTTGACTAAAAAGCTTCCTTAATGTTACAGTAATATAAGGTCTGCTAGATCTATCTCCAATAATAAGAAATATATGACCAACAAAATATGCTAAAAATGAACTCTTTATACCTACTTTTTGATCACATATCTCTTATTATTAGCTTTATATCACCGTAATGTTCAGTGAGCGTTTTATCAAAATATGTATACAGAATATTCTGTCCAAAAGATATATAATTTTAGTTTGTATCTTCGGAATACAACATTCATTTGTTTTTTTAATACAGTTTTGAAATTACAAGATAACAGAAAATTTAAAAAATGTACCTATACAAGATGATCCACAATTCAGTGGACATAGAACAGGTGAGTGTAGACGACATCAAAACGAGAAAATTGCGATTTTGTGATCGAACAAAAACATGTGGTTTTATAATTGCAGCATCTTTTAGAATATTTGTTTGGCTATTACTTTCTATTGTCTGAGATAGACACATGAAATCTTATGTCATTTTGATCACGAAAGATCGTTGTATTCAAATGTGCAAAAATATATTGGGTGCTTTGTTTAAAAAAATTTATAGAAAACCCTTATCTCCGTAACCAGAGTTTCCATCCTTTATGTAACTTATTAGTATTAGTCTAAAAACTTTCTAACAATTTTTTTCTTTACTATACTTCCAACATTGCTCAATGAAGAAGAAAAAAAAAAGGTGATAATGATGGTGGACCACCAGTATATGTCAATATTTTACTACAGTAAATATCAGTTCACAATAATTTGAATTGAATTTGAAGCGAATTTATTTATTATTGAAAACACAAGTATGTACATACTTGGTTATTTCAGGTACGTTGTATCCTGCGTCAGGATTGGGGTATACAGCTGCTGATAGTAGCCATTTGGGACTGGCTTGATCAAATTCTGTCCGTAATTCCCTAAGTAACGCCACAAAATTGTCCTAAAAGATCAGAAATATATTTATTTACAAATCATAATTTTTTTAGTTTGTTTTTTCAAATGTGTGGTTACACCATTAGGCAGGGTCCATTGAATTTTTACCAACTTTGTAACTTAACAACACTTTTCGCCAATGAAATTTAGGTTACTCAATGTGCGTTCTGATGCAAACAATATACAGGGTGTCCCCAATTCGGGTTGCCTATACCTGAAATGGATACAAAATTTCAATTGTCAAAAAAAATCATTCTTCATAAAAATTTTTGCTTATTCAGAAACCCTTGGCAAGATAGTCATTTGTTCAATTTAATGTACAGGGTGTTAAAAAATTTGGAAAAGGTAAAAACAGTGAAGAGTAAAGTACCTTAAATGTTAACGCTACGTGAAAAAGTAATGAAGGAAAGTTGCTTGGAATTAAATTTTATGTTTAAATATGAAAGCATGGCCTTCTAGTTAATACTCGATATTCTGGGATATTCTAGTACTCTACTTATTTGTTAATACTTTCGGAGAAGCCATTCTATTTAAAAAATATTGCTTTATTGAAAAACAGATACATATGTTTGCATATTAATCATTTATTTTGTATACAGGGGGATCAAAAACCTCAAAAACATTAATCCAACATTTATTTTCAGAACACAGCAGAATCAGTATGTATGCACCATTACAAAACTATTCTACATGAAGTCCGCCAAGTTCAACACACATCTCCAATCTTTTTCTAAATGCAGCGTAAGTCAAATGTATCATTTCTTCATTTACTTAGGCAATAGCTTGAATTATCCTGCTTTTCAAGAAATCAACATTGTATTACACTGGTTCTCTGTATACTCTTTCTTTCAAGAAGCCCCAAAGTAATCAAAATACCAATAATTTGTAGAAGGCAATTGTTATCAATAATTGTTTGACATTAGTTGTGACATTAGGTGTAGATATTTAATTTTATTCAAATAATGCTTACTTTACAGCATTGTATTTATCTTGTTAAATGTTACGGTATCGGTAACATTTTTTATAGCCAAGCAATTTAATTGTTTCATGAAAAATATCCAGATGTAAAAGTTACCCGCCAAAATCTGAGACAACTAATTCGAAAATTTGATTTAACTGGTGATGAACGTAAAAAGGTCAAAAAAGAGACACGATGACGATGATACAGCCACAATACTAGTTTTGAATTCGGTAGAAGAAAACCCGAGACTGTCACTAAGGAAGGAATCTAAACAAATCGATGTTAGCAAGACACATATTCAGAGGATTTTGGTAGAAAATAAGTTTAAGGCTTTCAAACCAAAAGTAATTCACACTCTAGAAGTTGGTGATGATGCACATCGTTTGGAGTTCTGTTTAGAGATAGGAGAAACGATTGTGGTAGATAGACATTTTCACAAAAATATAATTTTTTCTGTAACGGGAAAAAAGTTTGACATTTTATCTCTGTTGACAGGTAACAAAATGTCACTTTTTACGAAATTGCTTTTTCCCCGGGAAAAAGTGAGTACTTTTTTCCCGGATATATACAATATACATAAGTAACGCGATTTAGCTGGCAATAATTTTTGTGACGCTACTTTCGCTGCTTCTACTAACTCCGGTGGAGTCAGAGAAAACTCGGAATCAGACATTTTTTAACTTTATATTATTCAAAATAACTACTAAACAACCACTAAGTTTGCAATTTTTTAATCAAATCACAGAATTAAATTGACAGATATTTGATTAGTTTAAAGGTTTCCTTAGCAATGCAGATGTAATTGTCGCTATAAGTATAACAGCCTACCAATTTAAAACTATAGTGACTAATATATTGTAATAATGTTTTTTCAATATTAAATCGTTGTTTTTCCCATCACAGAAAAAAATAGTGTATTATACACGGGAAAAAAGTAGATTTTACCTCTCGGTTTTATGTCTCCCTCCGTTTCGCGTCGGGAGACAACACAACCTCGAGCTAAAATCTAGTACTTTTTTCCCTTGTATAATAAATATCTATTTTTCCGAAGAAACTTTTTTTTTTCTACCAATGGACTGGTATCGTCACAAAATTGTCGTTTTTGGTCGCAAGAAAATTAAATATTTACACCTAATGTCACAACTAATGTCAAACAATTATTGATAACAATTGCTTTCTACAAATTATTGGTATTTTGATTCCTTTGGGGCTTCTTGTAAGAAAGAGTATACAGAGAACCAGTGTAACACAATGTTGATTTCTTGAAAAGCAGGATAATAGAAGCTGTTGCCCAAGTAAATGAAGAAATGATACATTCGACCTACGCTGCATTTAGAAAAAGATTGGAGAGGTGTGATGAACTTGGCGGACTTCATGTAGAGTTTTGTAATGGCGCGTACATACTGATTTTGCTGTGTTCTCAAAGTAAATGTTGGATTTATGTTTTTGAGGTTTTTGATCTCCCTGTATACAAAATAAATTATTAATATGCAAACATGTGTATCTGTTTTTCAATAAAGCAATATTTTTTAAATAGAATGGCTTCTCTGAAAGTATTAACAAATAAATAGAGTCCTAGAATATTCCAGAATGTCGAGTATTAACTAGAAAATTATGCTTTCATATTTAAACAAAATTTAATTCCAAGCAACTTTTCCCCATTACTTTTTCACGTAGCGTTAAGATTTAAGGTACTTTACTCTATACTGTTTTTACCTTTTTCAAATTTTTTAACACCCTATACATTAAATTGAACAAAAATGACTATCTTGCCAAGGGTTTCTGGATAAGCAAAAATTTTTATGAAGAATGATTTTTTTTGAGAATTGAAATTTTGTATCCATTTGCTTGTATGCTTGTACGGAGGATTGGCACCCTCTGTGCAGGTATGGTGGGGTGGAAGAATGTTGGCTTGAGTCAATGTGAGAGATTGACACCGGTTGGCATTTGACCGCCCCCCTAATTAATGAGGTTTTCCAGGTTTCCCTCATTCCTGCACTGAATGGTGGTTAGGGCCTACCAACATAAGTCGTTCCTGGGCGCAAATGCGGCCTGCGTAATAATAATATGCCGCCTCCTCTCCCGCACAAGTCTCCGACTTCTGGGCTAACTCTCGTAGTTAGAATGAGGAGTAGAGATATTATTATTTATTATTATTATTTCAGGTATAGGCAACCCGAACTGGGGACACCCTGTATATTAAATAACTCTTTACGCTAATAGTGTTCACGAATAAAGTTCATACAATCAAAATCGCTACTAAGTACTAACTGCGTTCTAATAGCATTGATATGGTAAACTTCTGAATGTAAAGGTGCGTATACATCTGCGCTCCGCTCCGAGAGCGCGCCGCGCGTTTGCTGTAAGTTCTCTAGATTAATACGGGGTTTTCGAGTTGCGCACGAACCGCGCGCACACAGCGCGTCACGATCCATCTCGAGTCGGTTTTTTCGACGAATGCTTTGTATGTTCGCACTCGCAGTACAGATTTGGACGAGAGATAGTATGGAGTGGTCGGAAGAAAATGTAATTAAACTTATCGATGCTTACCGTGCGAGATCCCTTCTGTGGGATCCTCAACATAAAGATCATTTTAAGAAACCGCAGGTTCTCGAAGTCAGAAGGTGACATTCGAGTAAAATTCTTATATTGACCACTTATTGCTTGCGATTTCAAGTCCATCATAAGCTCGGTACCATTCCGTTTTTATATAAGATAGTGTGCCACCAACGTCGCTGTTTCCTTTTTTTTTGCACAAACTTACCATTAACAAAAAAGCACCACTCATCACCGAAACGGCGTAATTTTTATGGCGCGACAGAGACATGATCATCTACAATGCAAAATGTCTACTAAAATGTTCGTGGGTTTTCTTTGGATCGCGGAAGGTTCTTCAAAATGAATAGTTCCAAACGAACATTGGGCGAGCAGCGAACGCGTGGCGCGCACACCGCGCGGGTTGCTCGGCGCGCAGATGTATACGTACCTTTATAACTTTTCCTAAGTACTTTTCTGAATCTTTGTACAAAAATGATTTATAGAACAACAGAAAATGCAGTGGTTGCATGATGGAATTATAGAAGAATTGAATTATTTGGAAAACAGGACTGCTTGTGGAATATTGCAATAAAATAATATATAAATGTAATGTAATAAATAAGATGTTTGATATGATAAAAGCGTGAATATCGAAGTATTGAAGAAGCTCCACAAAAACGGAAATTTCTTATGGTGACATACTGTAATGAAGAAAAAAAAATGATTTTAAAAAATCGGGCAACATTTAATCTAATTAGATTGGACGAAGTTACATCTTTAGCACCATTTAGAACATCATTTGAATTAAATTTTAAATTAGCATAAATTGACTTAATAAAAAATGAGAAATAAAATAAATCGAAAATCATTTGACTCTATCCTTTAAGCCGCCAATTAAAGCTTCATACACCTATTCTGAGATAAATATCTGAGTATTAGAATTTATCAAAAGTTAGACTATCGTTACATAATACCTTGATAAATTCTACCCAAAAAACATTAAACTTTATATTAGTATTATGGTGACAGTTACCGATTTCACCTGTTAAAGCTTCTATCAGATAAGTTACATAATGATCAAAATCTTTATTTTCTGATTTAAATAAATTATGGACTTAATTGAACATATTGGTAATTTGACTATTATAAACATTTTAATGTAAACACATTACTAAGTAAACATAGTGAAAAATCAAATTTTGCTAACATTGTTCGTTAACACTATTAGTGAAGTGAATTTCTTAATATTTTTCTCGATATGGACGTAACTAACCCTGTCGGTCAGTGTGGACCTGTGTTAAGAAAACGAGACCAAATAATCCGACAGTTTATATTAGTTTAATGGGTGGCTATCAAAAGCCACAGTACCAGCCAAGGTATTAATAACATGATGTTATTAATCCAACCATAACGTAACAAAACTCTTTTCGTCTTGTTTTCTTAAATCGCGAGAATTTATATTTACAGCCCAGTGAATATACAGACTAGTGAACGAATATACAAGAAAATATTTGCACTATTTGAGGAACAATATTTATTTACATACTGAATCATTAGCAGTTGGCTTTTCCCAATCGATGTCCAAACCGTGAAAATTATATGTTTCGATGAACTCTTTTGATGATGTGACAAAATTTTTCCTCTTGTTTGCATCTGCAGCCACAGAAGGGAACAGATTTGCACTGAAGCTTTCAATACTTAGAAGCACTTTAAGAGATGGGTTCTTTGCAGTTAGATTTGTGACTCGGTAGTACATTCCTAAATAAAAAAATGTAATAATAAACCAAACGTTTTACTTTAAATCCGGCACGGTACAGTAATTGAAATTTTTTCATAAATCCCTCTTCACATTCATTGTGAAATGAGGAAAGCTTTTGATAAAGTTTTGTTAGCCTTGGTTTGCTATTTACAAACATATAATCAGTTATGTTCACTTGTTTGCTTGCTAATTGTAAAACATATTTATTTAGTTATAATAGGTCTCTCTATTAACTTTTGATTTTCGGAAGGAATGCAAAAGTGTACAGTGATTGAGGCAGTATGAAAAAACCTAGTTTTATCAGAAGTGTGCGGAATGAGGTGATTTTTTCTGAAAAGGAACACTGTATCGGATGCTCGTCGAGGATAGGTCAAATTAGAGCCAAGGTGAGAAAATCCAATATAGCGCCCATAAGAACAGCGAAAATTGAATGTCGTTTTTCGATTCTAGTGGGGGCAATCGCTAAAACGACTACGTATTTAAATCTACAATAAAGTGTCCTGATAACGTCCAACTCTTTCTATAATCTACTAAAAAAAAAATAGAAACTAAACTAAATTTTCAGTTTTTCACCTTAACGGAGATAAAAGATAACTTAGTATGTTGTATAATTATGCACTGATTTCAGGGCAATCTTGACCTTATCACCACATACAGCAAATAAATACAACAAAATATTGCACAAACTATTCATACAGGGTGTCCCGAAATTCATGCAGCAAAATTTGGTCATAGATTCTTAAGACAAATTAAGGGGACCCGTATTTTTTCTTTTTGCCAACTGGCTCCCTTTTTCGGAGCACCCTGAAATCTGCCCATAAGAAGTCTTTTTTATATCTCAAAACCATGTTATACGAGAATCACTAAATTTGGTACACAGGGATTTTATGACATTACTGACATGACTTAAGACACTTTTTCGTGGGCCCCCTTGTCTTTGGAACCAAAAAAATTTGGTCGCAAATTTGATTTTTTAAAAAATATTATTAGTTAGCTAGAAAGCCATTGAATTTAGAAACTTTTTTGTCTCTTGATATTTTTTTCGTAAAACGTAATGTTTTTGAGGAAAATGGCGAATCAAGATATGCATTCGATCACATTTATAAAAAGTATAGAGACAAAAAGTTCCTAAATTTAATGGCTTTTTAGTGGACTGATAATTTTTAAGAAATTTAAATATGCGACAAAATTTTTTTGGCTCCAAAGACAAGGGGGCCCACGAAAAATTGTCTTAAGGGGGGTTCCCCGCCAAAAAACGTAGCACCATCAGATTCCACATGTCATAAAACCCCTGTGTACCAAATTTACCGATTCTCGTATAACAGGGATATGAGATATAAAAAAAGATTATTCTTAAGGGCCGACTTCAGGGGGCTGTAACTCCGAAAAAAGGGGCTACTTGGCAAAAATAAAAAATACGGGTCCCCTAAATTTGTCTTAAGAATCTGTGACCAAATTTTGTTGCATAAATTTCGGGACACCCTGTATATACCTACTATTCTTGATTTTGACTATTTTTACGTAGGGTCAGTAAAGAGGGATTTGAAAAAATAGCGAAGTGTGTTTTTTAAAAACTCAAACTTGGTTTACATTTCCAAAATACATTTAATTGTATCTTTATTTACTTATATTTTTTTTTGATATAATTAGAAAAATTTTTTGCGTTTTTTTTTAGTTTTTTTTAAGACAGAAACACAAAAAAAGATAAAGTAAGTGAAATATATGTGAATATGCCTGTATATATTTATACATTTCAATATGCCCAAAAGAGCATATCATTATGTACAAAAAGGTACTTTTAGTCAATTCTAATAATCTGAGAAAATTGGCAACATTTTTATGCACTTTAATGGCATTAATTCTGAAAGCCAAATGTACCGTGGAATGCCTGTAAACGTTGTTGATACATACATCATGCCCAATAAAATATGAAACCTGCTGATAAAAACTATTTTTCCTCATATAGTGTTTGTAGACTTAGCATTTTTTTAATTTATCTCCCAGTTTAGATATGTCTTAAATATGGTACCAATTTTGCTACAAACTTTTCCTTTCATTATCGTTAGTGTAGATTTTTATAATTTGTGTATTTAAAATTCATCAAAATTTGTATCGTCAGTTTTCTCGGAAAGGTACATTAACACTTATGATAGCCCTTCCAAAAAAAAAAAAGAATTATTTGGCTGAAAATGAAGGACACATTTTTTAAGATAATACTATCCTCAATTAGCCCCAGCATTTCTTCCATTGTGAGTTAAGTCACATATTAGATACAATTTATCATTATACGGAGTGATTTACAAATGGTGACCAAAAATGAAATTCTTTGGCGAATTTTAAGGGGAGTCATATTTTTCTAAATAAAATAGTACGCTGCTGCTTTACGGTAACAACCATGATATTTTCGGATTCGTCTTTCAATTTTCTACCACTCTCTTTGAAAAAAGCCTGATTTTCGAGTAAAACTAACAGAAAACAATTTTACTTTAATGACATGACAAGCACTAACCAATCGTTTATTTATTCGAATAAAGAAATTGATAACGTTAGTCAGCATTTTAATTATTTTATTTGAGTAATACTCAAAAATACCTCAGTTTCCACGAAAACAGGCCCGACATCTTTTTAGTAACGAAAATGTAAGTACCTAATTTGTTCAAGATTTATTGTTGCTTGAATCTGATGAAAAGCATTACTTATTCTTTCTTCTAACTGCTCAAATTGTAAAAGTTGCTATCGCAGCGCATTATATAATTTTAAAAAGCATTATATTCGAATATTGAAGTGTGTTCTCAGCTCGTTTTTTAAGTTCTACTTGAAAATCAGGCTTTTTTTGAAAAATATAAAACAGTAGTAATTTGTAGAAAATTGAAAGACGAATTTGAAAATATCCTGGTTGTTACCATAAAGCAGTGGCGTACTATTTTATTTAGAAAAATATGCCATCGATATCCTGTATCTCCGCCACTGGAGCATGTATAATTTAGGAAAAACTCTCAGATTTTGGACAATGTTTACATAAATACATGTGCCCAATTTCCAATTATTACACTTACTAGTTTTTAAATTATTTAAAAAAATTAAAAATATTTTTTGAAGTTTAACACGCTGTATCTTTTTAACGAAGCGTCCTAGATAAAAACTTTATAGAGGATAATCCCCTTAAAATTCACCAAAGAATACGAGGTTTTATTTTTGGTCACTATTTGTGAATCACCCTGTATACTCGTAAAAATCTAAACCAAAATTTGTCTCTGATCAGTAAGTTATTTAAAGAAATTGTTTTCAGCACAGTATTTTAATGCAACTTACCTCTACACAAAGTTGCTTCATTTAGCTGCTAGATGGCATTAAAATTGTTTAAAAAAACCACAATTTAATTGCTACCAAAATTTTGATTTATTTGACGATTAAAATGACATAATGCTTAGTAGAGTACGGATGCTTTTAATAGAACCCAACAATAAGCAATTTAGTTTAAAATAATAATTGTACATATTTCAGATTTACCCCATTCTATGAATTTCGACTATCGAATTTGAACTTCTGTGATTATCTTTATTTGAAGATCATTAAATTAATTGAATTCGATAGAAAACTACCGCAAGACAATTTGCCGAATGGGGAAAGCATTTTAGAGCTATTTCAAAAAAATCTAAATTTTTTTATCAATTTAACGCGATCTAGCGGCTAAACATGTAATTTATATAGAGGTAAATTACCTTTAAACATTATAATTTAGGATCACCTACATGTGCCTGTTCTGTGCTGGTGAATTTGCACGAACGATAAATCATTTGAAAAGTTCTCGGTTTGACCACAGACAATATAGCTTATCGCCACAGACTGCTACTTAAATGCTGGAAATTGGCAACCCGAAATGGAAGCAGGGTCTCCTTAGCCGGATTCCAGCTATAAAATTTAGCGTGGTGACTCTTCTACTTGGTAATAGGCGGCAGTCCCAGCAGTGGCTTTGTTACCCAATAAAATCAGCTAAATAAATTTAATGCTTTCAGTTATGTAATTAAAGAGATATGGAACTTATCTTCTGTTTGGAAATCACATTTGCCTTAAATGCTAAATAAAATAAATCAAGTTAAGAATTAAAACTATGAATTTACCTAATTAATTATTTATTTTATATCGCCTTGGAATGGGAAAATTCAAAAAGTTGAAATTAATGTTTTTAGATTTGTGTGTCGACTTCCAATATGGTACGATATTAACACCTTTTTTTTTAAATTTGCATTATACAGTTTGTGTATCCTTAGATGGGTACTGCTCTCTTATTGTTGATTTCTTTAGATAGGTAAAATAATTATTGACACAAGTGTTGCATATCATGGATGCCATTGGTAGTGCTCATATTTGTGACACAAGGTGTTCAAAAAAATTAACACAATGTAAAATTGCTGGCACTTCAAGTAGTTGAATACGAAATTTATTAAAAAAAAAAACAACAAATCATCAATCAATACAGAGATAAGATAATGCGTTTGCCACTGCTGTTGTAATTTTTGACAAACTTTTTTGTTTTTCGACATACTGACTTCGGACCTTTTGCATTCAACGCAGAACGGACAATCAGAACCAGAGGAGTGGGGATATTTTTTTAATTATTCTTTCTATTCAACGCACCGTTTCCGAATTACTGTATTACCTCACACACCTCTTCTTTCCGAAATTTGTTTTCCACATACGGACTTCGGACCTTTTCCATTCAACGCAGAAAGGACAATCAGAACCACGGGTGTGAGATTTTTTTAATAATTTTTTCGATTCAACGCACCGTTTCCGAGTTATACGGCCTTTTTACTCTATGACGTCACACACCTCTTGTTTCCAACATTTATTTTCGACATACGGACTTCGGACCTTTTGCATTTAACGCGGAACGGATAATCAGAACCAGGGGTGTGGGGAGATTTTTTTAATTATTATTTCGATTCAACGCACCGTTTCCGAGTTATAAGACCATTTTTACTGTATCATCTCACGCACCTCTTGTTTCAGAAATTTATTTTCTACATGTGGACTTCGGACCTTTTGCATTCAACGCAGAAGGAACATACATAACCAGGGGGATGGGGAGATTTTTCAATTATTTTTTCGATTCAATACACCGTTTCCGAGTTATAAACACTTTTTTATCCTATGATGTCACACACAGTTGGTCCTGATTTTTTTTTTTTTTGACATGCGGGTTTTGACGTTTTTCACTCGATCACCAATCAGAACCATGGAAGATATTTTGATACTTAGAGTCCAAGCAAATACTGTTTTTTTTCCTTCATATATTGTGACACCCCGCCCTGCGTCACCCACCGAGTGATCTACTCAGAACCAAGGGGAAATTTGTTTATATTTCCAGCCATTTCCGGGTTACGAGCAAAAACCGGTTTTTTTCTCATACTATGTGCCATAGATCGATAACGAAGGCTAAAAAGGCCACGCGCTCTACCCCACGCTCCCTCCCTAGGTGTCCTGAAATAGCTGGGGAAGCCCCAAAGACTCCTGAAGACAGCAGAGAGAGAGAGAGAGAGAGAGAGAGAGAGAGAGAGAAATAGAAGCCCTCTATGAGGACAGAGTCACTCTATCTCTATCTCTATCTCTATCTCTATCTCTATCTCTATCTCTATCTCTATCTCTATCTCTATCTCTATCTCTATCTCTATCTCTATCTCTATCTCTATCTCTATCTCTATCTCTATCTCTATCTCTATCTCTATCTCTATCTCTATCTCTATCTCTATCTCTATCTCTATCTCTATCTCTATCTCTATCTCTATCTCTATCTCTATCTCTATCTCTATCTCTATCTCTATCTCTATCTCTATCTCTATCTCTATCTCTATCTCTATCTCTATCTCTATCTCTATCTCTATCTCTATCTCTATCTCTATCTCTATCTCTATCTCTATCTCTATCTCTATCTCTATCTCTATCTCTATCTCTATCTCTATCTCTATCTCTATCTCTATCTCTATCTCTATCTCTATCTCTATCTCTATCTCTATCTCTATCTCTATCTCTATCTCTATCTCTATCTCTATCTCTATCTCTATCTCTATCTCTATCTCTATCTCTATCTCTATCTCTATCTCTATCTCTATCTCTATCTCTATCTCTATCTCTATCTCTATCTCTATCTCTATCTCTATCTCTATNTAGTAAATTAAAACATATTTTCAACTGTATCATCACAATTACTTGCATGCTGATTTGTAAAAATTGTAGGTATTTTAATGTTATTTCATTTTTAGGTATTCTCCTTATGTTGTTGTAAAGGTTAGTTATAAAAATCGTTGTTTGTTATTTTCATAAGAATGAATTTTAATTTTTTTAATGATTTTTTTTATTTTAAACATATATGCCAGCAAATTTTGATGCCAAAAGAAATAAAGGAAAGTCGTACATTTGTATATAAAGTTTCTTTCTATCATTAATTATTAAACCTATAAGTGGATGTCAAAATACTAAATAAAACTGTACCTACATTCCGCGACGTACTAATAACCCACCTTGTATATTAAATAAATTTATCGTCATCATCAAATATTAAAAAAATTATATTACAAGCTGTTTAAAATATCATTACGAATTTTGTTTATTTGGAAATATATTTTCTGCAGTATTTCAATACGAAAAAAATGAAAATAGTAAGTAGCTAATTAACGAAATTATGATTAAATAACTTAATTGTAACACCGCTGCAGAATATCATATGAAACTACATATATATTCGTTGATTCTTCAAAAACATTTTTATCAATACCTGCATCATACATTTAAGTAAATACAGTAACACAAAAAACAGATATTGATAAAAAAGTGTACAAAAGAAATCCGCAAGTACGCCTGGCAACATTACCAAAGTCTTGTTTATATGTTGCTAGGATACGCGTAGGTATGCGGGCCGCTGTATTTGATTCTTCCTAAAATTCTGCTGGTGGTGTACTCTACCGGTAATTCGGAAATTTAAAACTGCTGCCCTATTCCAGTAGCGGTCTGTGGCGATAGCTATTTGGTCTGTGGTTTGACACAGAGGTGGCACAAGTATAACCAAATGACACAAATGACTATGACTGATTTGTTTAATACAATCCTTTAGATAGCCTTCTACGAAGTTTCAGGTGCATGCATTTAGTTATTTGTTTATAGCGATGCGATGGAGTGAAGTAAAGAAGGTTTCTTAGGCAGGTGAAACATTATTCTATAAGGGCAGTACAAATCTTAAAAGTGAGAAATATGAATCTTAGTAACTAAGTTTACATTTGATTACAGCCCTGTAGCTCGAACTTCAATTTTATAAATTTTTTATAAAATGTCAAAACTCGTTTGCGTTACTCTAGAACAATTAAACTTTCATCATACATTTTGCAATTAACGAGCATTTATAACTAACCACCCTGTACAGTATACATTATATCAATATTTTGAAATATGTACTGGAATTAAAACTAAAGAATTTAAGAATAAGAAGAACCTTTCAATTATGTCAAACATGCGTATAATATTTACCATATTTTTTTTGTTTTTGACCAAAGAATACCCTTTACATCTTTTTACACGTACATCCTATACAGGATGTTTCAAAGCATGTGTCGGAAAACGAAGGGTTCATTGGCTCATTCTAAGAAAAAAAGTTCTTATTAACATGGGGCCTCGTGCGCACCGTTTTCGATATAAGGTGTAAAAGACGATATCTCAGGAACCGTTTGAGATACAGAACTCAAATTTTGCGCAAAAGAACCTCACACAATCCTAAAATCTCCGCCACTGTCATATGAATAAATACTGAATCAGAGCTCAAAAGTAACTAATATTATGATAATATGCGTACAAAATTTGAATTCTGTATCTCAAACGGTATATCGTCAAAAAACTGAAAAATATATATTTTTTGACACAGTATATCTCGAAAATGGTGCGTTTGCGGACTCATGTTAATAAGACATTGATATTACAATTCGAGCCAAAGAATCACACCGTTTTTTTTCCGACATATTTTTTGATACACCTACATACAGGGTGATTCACAAACGGTGAATTTTAAGGGCAGTCTTTCCTATAAAGTTTTTATCTAGGACGCTTGGTTAAAAAGATACAGGCTGTTAAACTTAAAAAAATATTTTTTTAAAATAATTTAGTAGAAGTAATTTGTAGAAAACTGAAAGACGAATCCGAAAATATCATGATTGTTACTATAAAGCAGTGACGTACTATTTTATTTAGAAAAATATGCCACCGATACCCTGTATCTCCGTCACTGGAGCATCTAAATTTAAAAAAAAGCCGGCAGATTTTGAACAATTTTTACATAAATACATGTGCCCAATTTCAAATTATTTCACTTGCTAGTTTTTAAATTATTTAAAAAAATTAAAAATAATTTTCTCAAGTGTAACACCCTGTAGTATTTTTTTTAACGAAGCGTCCTAGATAAAAACTTTATAGGAAAGACTCCACTTACAATTCACCAAAGAATACGAGGTAGCATTTTTGGTCACCTATTAACGGATTCAATTAATCATAAATTACAGATCTGTATATCATAGTTTATTATAACTACCTGCATCAATATCCAGCTTTTCATTTTGATATGTCAAAAATCCTTCTTCATCGATTTCTGCAAAGGCGNGGTGCGTTTTTAGTTAGCATTTTTGGTCACCTATTAATGGATTCAATTAATCATAAATTACAGATCTGTATATCATAGTTTATTATAACTACCTGCATCAATATCCAGCTTTTCATTTTGATATGTCAAAAATCCTTCTTCATCGATTTCTGCAAAGGCGTAATTTATATGCGTGCAGAGGTTAGCATCCAAAGTTTCCGGTGGTGCTAAACTATATCCATTGGAATTAATGAAATAGCAGACTACATTATTACCTACAACAAAGAAGATAATTTCAAACGTATGGATAATTAACAAAATTTAACAATAACTGTTCAATTAGCAAAGGTCGTTCTTTTACACCTGCGCATGCACCAAAGTAATGAGTAGGATCAAAATTAGTAGGTAAGTATGTCGCTCGAAGCATGATAAATCTAGTTTAAATACGTTCCAGCTTATCGACTTCAATCAGTACTAATTTTATTGATTGATTTTACTGTTAAAAATTGCATAATATTTTGTTGTTTGGCTTGCATATGTTGGTAATTTTAGGAAAGTCTCGTTACGTAATTTTGGAGGCAGGTTAGGTATATCAAAATCAAAGATAAAATAGAAGACAGTACGCTTTATTCTTTAATAGAATTCTATATGCCATTGTAAGAACATTGTATACATATCTGATAGATAAACAAGTGAACATTGGATATAAAACGCGTTAACACAATTGTATAATGACTATAAACTACATTTTTTTATCAAATTATTATATAACTAGTATACACCGTTCCTTATACTCTTTATGAAATGATAGCTGTAACAGTTATTAAAGTGTCCCATACTCGTTATTAGAACTGGTACTAATAATTATAAGTTTTATAATAATATATGTATTAAACTGATGTATAGTCTGTATGAGTTAAAAACATATGACGTTAAGTTTTCAGAAATTTTATTGGATAACTGTAATTACAAGCTAAGGTTCTAATGTAAACATACATAAAACATACTTTTAAACATTAAAATGATGACAAATCGCTCCCA